GTTTAGTGTGGTCCATATTAAAGATTAGTTATTAAAAAATATGAGAAGCCAAGTAGGGGTTCAATTCACTCACGTTTTATCTTAAGATAGTGCCTTTTATATAGAAGAAAATGCCTGGCACCGTCGGCCAAAAAAAATTTTACCTACCTAAATTTAATGGGCTATACATCTGCATACCTAGAGTTTTTCTAAAGTTTCTGAACAAAAAGTTTAAAATTTTTTGGTGTCATTGTTAAAGTTGGTTGAATTTTTATAATTTTTGTACGAAGTTTGAAATGTGGGTTTGTGTGGTTCTGTTTATGTTATGTGCTAGAATTTTATAAAAAAAAAAAACTATAAACATTAAATAAACAAAAGAATAAACCAAAACTGGTCAAAATGTCACTTAACTTAATCAGCTGGCCACAAGGGTATATAGGTAATGGGCGAGTCCGCGCTTCCCCCCTCCTCCCCTGCGTCCACCTCAACAAACAAATAAAGCTTATTAGCCCTGTAAACCTACCTCTGATAACTGTGCAATGCAATGAAAATGTGGGAAATATTAGGGGTATTCTCCAAATCTTACAAAGCCATTGCACGATCACGGATTGCATGGATTTCATAACTTGCAAACACAACAACAAAATACATGGGAAACAACATTTCCTATCGCTGCAAACTATGCAACGTCGAAACCCATGTATATATTTTGCAAAATAGCATAGCAAGATAAATGCGACCCTGTGCTAGTTGTTTTGTTGTTGGAATTGCTACATATTTCTCTCATACCTCTCATCTCGCTCACTTCATTTTTTTTCTGTCTCTTTTTATTGTATTTGATAAATAATTTCGCTGCTTGCTACCCATGCATGCTACCACTTTGCAATGGGGTGTTCTCGTACTCTTCGAAATTTGGAATAGTATTTTTGCATTTCGTGCAATCCGTGCATCGTGCAAGATTTCGAGAATGCCCCTATTGTGTAACAAGCACGAAACACAACTTCAACTTCTGTAATTAAATATAACACCTTTTAGCTTTTTTTGTCAAGGGGGGAACAAGACCAATACTGCTTGATAACAACTCATAATATAGCTAAAGCACTCACACAATTAATATATAACATAATTTTATTAAAAGAAGATTAGTTATACTATATATTTTTCTTACCAGACACTTGAATTATGAGTCGCAAATTATTTGGCAGCACTTTCAACACAACCTACTTTAAACTCACACAAAAAATTTACTTAGAACTTGATTTCAAAACGTGAAAAAAGGTAATACAAATGCATTTAAAGCTTTATTTTTTGGTTGATTTTTACAAATGTCTTATCCGCATGTTTAGTTTTATAAAGAAAATAATGTTTGCACTGAAGTTCAGTTTCCCATGGAACCTCCCATATGTACATATGTAAATTTGTGCAAATTAAAATGAAATAAAAAAGAAAGTGAGTTTATAAAAACGAAGTCAAAATTAGTACAACGGCGTTCTGGTTCAACGATTCGTCAGAGGATGAGAGAGTTTAATGTGTAGTCTTTCGAATATATTTTGACATACAATATATTTAAGAAATTTTGTGATCCAAATCTATTTAAAATATATTAAAAGGGGGGTGAAATAACGCAAACGGAAATTACGCAAAATTTGCTTTATTTGACTTTTAAATGGGAAATAATACCGAAATCTGAGTTTTGCTTTATTTCCATCAAAGGTTGGAAATAAAACAAATTTTGCCTTATTTCCCATTGCTTATTTATACTATTTGTAACAAAAACAGTTTACTGACAGAAGGAAAAAGAACTTTGTTTATTCCAAAAATACAATTAAATTCAAAATGTGATGTAATATAATTCATATGAAGAAAGTAATATTCTCAAAATATTTTTACTTATGAAAAGTCTAACAAAATATAGGAAAAGAGTCGTCTTTAATAACTGCTCAGCAAAAGTGGTAATAGCGCTTCTGCATGAATTGTATCTGCATGCTATTTTAAACGAGTTGAAAACATTGCTGGAAAACCTTAAAATGTTTGCATGGAACCATGGCGCAATAAACAGGTGAAGTAATAAAACAGCTTTCTCGCTTTATTTTCTGTCTTTTGACTGCCTTATAGTCAAATTTTAAAGGCAATTTTTCAAATAAGGCAGTGTCAAAATCTTTTTCTCGCTCTAATTACTTCACCTGGTATAATTCCTCCATGGCATGGAACAAACATAAGTTGCCGTTCGTGTTCGCAGCATATAGCACAGAGAATATTGTTTTGAGTTGTATCTTCAGTTAAAATTTCTGCATTATCATCACTGGTTTCACCATATCCGAAATGTGGATTTCGTATACGAAGACGAAGCGAACATGTGGTACAAAGTAGTGATGTAAAAATATGTAAAATTTTACCTACTCTCAGACTTCTAAATTTGAACGTATACTCGGTATAAGCAGGTGGAATGAATGGCGTAATAAACAGGTGAAGAAATAAAACATTCGGCTGTCTTATGGTCACATTTTATAGGCATGTTTTCAAATAAGGCAGTGTCAAAATATTTCATCTCACTCTAATATTACTTCACCTGGTATAATTCCACCATGGTTGGGGTGCATGCAATAACACCATATGCAATAATTCCCATTACTTAGACATTAAGAAGCAGTTTCAGAAGTGAACTAGTATAATTTTATTAATCTTCTTTTTTCTAAACGGTTATAATGCCAGCTGTGCATAATTGCGAAAGGAGGGGAGGGGGCGGGGGACGCGAACGCACTTTCAAAATTGTATGCTTACAAATCCGTCCATTTAACTTGTTCATGTACTACTTTTTGTCAAATGTAACTGGGTGACGACTACTTACATATGTGCACTATTTTGCTTTATTACTCAAATTGTTAAGTTTAAAAGCTGGTCTTATTGCTCAACGAGAAATGAAATAAAGCAAATTTGTGTTATTTCACATTCAATTGGGAAATAACACAAATTTGCGTTATTGTCGTTTGTGTTATTTCACCCCGCATATTAAAACTATAAACAGCTCTATGATTTTGTTCTCAGAGATCGTGCCAACAGAGTATTGTGATTTTCTTTCATAAGTAAAACCAGCCTTCCGAGGTTGTGTTTAGTATTCATGACGTTAGAACTGTTTGAAATTAATAAAAACTGTTTAAAATTAGTGTCTAGCCGCCAAAAAGTAAGAAAACAAATGCAAAATCATACATTTTTCACAATTTTCTAACACTTCGCTACACCATCGAAAGCAAAATTCTGTTCGACAGAAAATTTCGACACGCTTGCATAGCTCATAAATCGAATTTCTTTTTCGATCTTCGATAACCAGCGAAGAGGTAGAGGTTTGCACACTGGTGAGAGGGGAGACCAGTATGTTCGCATGTATTCACAAAAAAAAAATTATTTATTCGAACAAACAATATGGGTAGGCACTGTGACCAATAGTAAACATCTTTTACCACCTCTGCATGATTGTAAGTCAATGCAGAGTCCGCAGAAGACTCCGGAAGCATTGTCCGGAGGATGCATCAGACTTGGCCGAGCATGCTTTGAACTGCCATCAAATTATAGCTTAAGAAAATTTTTATTACATGGCAGTTGAGAAGTATGTTCAAAAATTTCATAAATTAAATGAAGGAAATTTGTGCATATGCAGCTGTATATAGCATGCATTTAAGCGCTTGATGTTAGGAGTGGACACAGGATCTTCTAAATGGCGTTATCCATTTTCAGATATCTTCTTTAGTTTCCGAGATATCGTTAATTTAGTACAAATTTTTATCACATTTTGTCGTATGTCATACAAAGTGGCTGCGAAGAAAATCCTTCAAAAACTCAAAAATAATTAGTAGTCTATATATCGTCGTTTAAAGTACAAAACCGCGTATCGTCATCTGCAAAACCGCGTAACTTTCATTTGCAGCCAAAAATTGGATTTTCTCACACAAGCTCTTGGCTCACTCATTATCCATTCGTCCTGAAATATTCTAGCCAGAAATGCGATTGCTTTATAAAAAATGAACCATTTTGAAATATGAGTGTTTTTACTCTCTAGAAAATAATTTTTGCAACCTCACATACGCGGGTTTGCATTATCCTGATACGCGGTTTTGTACTTTAAACGACAATATATAAATGCGAATGTCTGTTTGTTTATTACCTTATAACTTTTGACACGGAATCACACGAAACTTTGCACTTATTGGTTCTTACCCCGGGAAGGTTAAAGGTATGGTTTTATTTGCAAATGTGTCGTCAATGTTGCAACGGGGCGTGGCACCTCCCATAGGCCTGCAAATGTTTAATCAGCTATAACTTCGAAACCATAAGTCAAAAGAACTTGAAATTTGGTACGAAGACATGTCTATGGTAGGTGCTTATCGTAAGATATATATAAATAGGTTTATAAAAAAGAGCGTGGCACCCTTAGGCGTGGAATTTTTTATCAGCTATAACTTCGGAACTATAAGTCACATGAATTTGAAATTTTATGTATATGAAGTCATACGCATCTATGGTAGTTGCTGATGGTAAGGTTTATATAAATGTAAAGGGGGCGTGGCACATCTCATAGGTGGGGAATTTTGTTTCAGCTATAACTTCGGAACCATGCGTCGCATGAATTTAAAATGTGATATGAAGTCATATCTATGGTAGTTGCTTAAGTTAAGGATTATATAAATGAGTTTGTATAAAGACGTGGGGCGAAACCCGCGGACAAAAGCTAGTAAACAATAAAAATAAAAATTTTGGAGAAAATCTGTGCTCGCGATTTTGAGAAATTGCATTCTAAACTTCAATCGCGATTTTCCAAAACCTGCCGAAAGTAACATATGACAATATTTTATCCAGGCGACGATATGCCCTCACATAAATATGTATGTCTTTCCTTATGTATTCGCTAGAGTAGTGTCATTCTAAGGAGAAAGCCATACACCTAGCAATGGTTATAGCGCGCCCTGCCACTTTGTGAAAATGTTTAATTTATATTTATTTTAACCTTTCGCTTATTTCTTTTTCAGAAATCAGACGCCAGCGAGCAACCATACCAAAGTTACTTTAAGAGACGTTGTAATTCCCACGGGGGAATGCCTTGCTGATTTCAATGGTTTTACGTATTTGTTACTGCTTCTAGCAACTCTCTATTTTGTAGTTCGATTTCTAAGGGTAGCATATTTGATAACTCAGTACATGGATATGAAAAAATTTTATCAGACCGCGCTGCACATAGACGACGTAAGTTGAATGATAATATCGCACCCCTTGATCTGAAGTGCGATCAACTCAAAAAAAAATTATGGCGATTTTTTTGCATAAATCAATTCATAGGACTTACATCCAAATAATGCGAATAATTTTTTCTTCATGATTATATACATTAACTAAAAACAGAGCTGGGTAAATTCAATTACATTCCTCACTAATTGTAATTAGGAGTCAATTCCTTCAGTTCACAGCAAAGGAATTGATTACTTTCTCAATTCCTTAGAAGTAATTTCAAATGTAATTGTTTTTATTTTGAATTCCATTACAAGAAATTTCATATTGTAATTGGAATAAATTACGTGCTAGTAATGTATTTTTTTCCAATTCCTTTGAAAGGAATTGAAAATGTAATTGATTTTTTTTCGAATACCATTCCTAAAAGTAATTTAAAAAGTAATCGAAAAATGTATTAAAAAATTTGTTTACTGTTGAATTGCAATAGCTTTGTTAAATTTCCTGCTTGCTAACTGCCTTGAATAAATAACTTATACCTAAGTAGTATTACTAATCGGACTTTAAGAAAGCTGAATAACTTAAGCTGTAGCTGCTCAGTTTATAGGGTAACCGTGAAATTTTCTAGATCCTATCGCGAACGCGCTTGGCGGCAGATGAGACCCGTCAATGTCCAGGCAGGCATAACCCGCCCGAATACTTTCATGCTCGCCTTTCGGTCAAGAGCTGTCCGAACTGTTGCTGCCTCGGGCACTGCTGTTCTCTTAGACTAATTCCTGCGTATCTATAAAAATGCACTGACTTAATTGTGTATATTATGGTACCCTTAATTCTACCCAAAATGGCGTACCTTCTGGGATCTTTGAAGTACTCTTACTGGTATCCTGCGTTACAAATAAGGATAGAGATATAGATATATATTTTGAAAGCCGTCTTTTCGAAATTTTTTTGTTATTTCGAAATCGACTGCAGACTTTCCAAGGATGGTTATAGGCTAAAAAAAGTTTCGATATATAAAGGGGGCGTGGCACCTCCCATAGAAACCGAATTTTTCAAACTGCATATATTTGTGGTAGAGGACTAGACGTTTTTATCGATTTTGGTATCGATTTTGTAATCGATATTTTTAACGATTTAATTATAACACTGGATCACAAATTTTAATTTGGTTTTTGTTCTCCAGACGCCACTATCCAATTCCTCTGTAGAATTGTTCGGTGATTCCGAAAATCGAGTTAATATTTTTTCCATGGATACGTTTTCGAGATATTTGGAATTTACCGTTAAGGCAAAAACTGGTTCTTTTCAATCACGTATGCCGTACGAACCAATTTAAAAATCTTAATATACGGAAACTGAAAGCCAATGAAATTCTCCATAAACCGTATATACATCACTTTCCGATAGGGCTTATAGATTCTGACAAATTAATTAATCATTCCAGCTTTTTTTATTTTTAAATGAAAAAATGAAAAAAAAAAATCAAACTCATATGCCACGTACACCCGAGTAACACGCTTTACGGCTCGAATTTCATACAAAAAATCTTTGCGCATTTTCATTTGACCACTCATATTACGTATTTATCCATCGATTTTCTTCATCAGTAACTTAATTTTTTTCTTGTACCAGAACAGGCTTTAGTACAAATGCCAAAATTTGGCAAAGAACCTGTTATTTTTTTAATTTTTCTTCTGTTAAAGTTTGATTTTTTTCATTTTTTCATTAAAAAATAAAAAAAGCTGGAATGATTAATTAATTTGTCAGAAACTATAAACCCTATCGGAAAGTGATGTATATACGGTTTATGGAGAATTTTATTGGCTTTCATTTGCTGTATTTTGAATTAAGATTCTTGAATTGGTTTGTAAGATATACGTGATTAAAAGGAACCAGTTTTTGCTTTAAGCTGAATAACGGTAAATTGCAAATATCTGGAAAACGTATCCATGGAAAAAAATAACTCGATTTTCGGAATCACCGAATACCGAATAGGAATTGGATAGTGTCGTCTGGAGAACAATTTTGCTGTAAACCAGTGTAATAATAGATTGGCGCGCTTGCACATATTCTAGTGTTTGGCCGAGCTTCTCCTCCAATTTGTGGCGTGCGCGTTGATGTTGTCACACAAAGGGAGGGACCTACTGTTTTACGCCAACTCCGAATGGCGATTGTATTTTTATGAAAAGCTGTTTTTCATGGCAGAAATACACAAAAACCTTTTTTCTATATTTTTTTTCGATGTTGCTTTGACCAGGGCTTGAATCCGGGCGCAGCGGAGTGGAAGCGCGCACTGCTAACCATTACACCACAGCGGCCGACGACTTAGTTATTGATATTTTGTATCGATATTGTTATCGATTATGGTATCGATATTCTTATCAATTTTGTTATCGATATTGTTAACGATATTTTTGTAGATTTTGTTATTGATTTTATTATCGATATTTTTATCGATTTTGTTATCGATATTGTTATTGTGTTAATTTTATCGGATAGGTTGTCGATATTTTTGTGGATGTTACTATCGATTTTGTTATCGATACACAAAAAGTGACATCATATGTCAGAACATCAAATAATATGACTGTTGTATATTGGATGGTATTCTAACTGAACTTACTAAATATGAGCTACTACGACAATTATTCATCATTAAATTTGTGAAGTAGGAAAACGCTAAAATGGCGTAACCAAAATAAATATTTTTCTGTGCCACCTCATACGTACTATTTTATTTGACGGATATGAGGTATTGCGCGCCAAGCGACGAAATATTGGTTATGAGACAAACTAGATATGTAACGTAAGTTTCACTTCTCCATTGTGGCCCAGGCGCACTTACTTTTCTTTGTATAGTAAACTCCGAGTTTAAGAGTAGAGTTTAGCGTTAAACTCCGAAATGGCCCATAAACTCGAGTTTGTGGCTCAATGAGAACGTAATATTAGTTTAAGATAGTTGATAATCCCATTGAAAATATTTCCAAATCAAGATTTCTCAAATGCCTTTCGTTTTGTACCCATACTGTAATATTTCTTTTATTTTGTTAATTTAATTGAGTTAAATTTGCAAACAGGCGACAACCCTCTTCGAAAATATTTTTGACTGTAAGCCTTCTAAAACTCTCTAGTTTGACACCCACATTGCAATATTTCTTTTATTTTGTTAATTTAATTGAGTTAAATTTGCAAACAGGTGACAACCCTCTTCGAAAATATTTTTGACTGTAAGCCTTCTAAAACTCTCTAGTTTGACACCCACATTGCAATATTTCCTTTATTTTATCAATTTAACTGAGTTAAAATTTTAAAATAGGTGGCAACACTCCTCAAGTATATCAACAATGGTTATCTTTTCTAAACTTCTTTAATTTGATACCCACATTGCAATATTTCATTAATTTTACCAGTTTAATTGAGCTTAAAATTTTCAAACAAGTGGCAACCCTCCAAATTTTTGTATCATTAAGAATTCCGGTATTATACCAAATGACTAAAAGAAAATTATTCAAATCAGTTTAGCCGTTCTCGAGTTTTGAGGCCTCGTACAAACGAACACAATATTTTGATATATACTACTTATACATAGATATAGATAGAAGATGTCCAATGTCCAATTTCGATTTTAATCTTTGGCCACAACAAAACTTCCACATTTTATATTCGTGAATGAACTTTCAGTTTTTCAATTACTTTTACAGTTCCTATGAGTAATTGGAAAAACTAAAGTACTCTAGCAATTCCAGGTAATAGAATTGGAAAAAATCAATTACATTTTCAATTCCTTTCAAAGGAATTGGAAAAAATTTACTTTACTAGCACGTAATTTATTCCAATTACAATATGAAGTTTGTTGTAATGGAATTAAATAAAAAAAAAATTACATTTGAAATTACTTCTAAGGAATTGAAAAAGTAATCAATTCCTTCGCTGTGGACTGAAGGAATTGATTTCTTATTACAATTCCTTGTAATTGGTAATTGGGAGTAATTTGATTCCTAAAGGAATCATTACGACCCAGATCTGACTAAAAAACTACTGTTATACCTGTTTTTGTATTAATTGCGTTGAATCTGTCGGGGAAAAATAGCTGAAATTTGACAATGGCCCACTAAAGGCAAAAACAAAATATACTATATACAGGCAGGTTCTGCAATTCACTTCCGAGTGAATCTCAACCAAAGTCACTTTGATATCATATATCATATATCATAAAATGGGCTGAAATTCACTCTGAAGTGAATTGCAGAACCTGCCTGATATTTGTAGAATCGATACCACCTTACATGAAATCGCCTTAGATCTAACTATCAGATTTTTATATTGTCCTCGGCAAAAAAATTCGTTTAATATATTTATTTATGTAGTTGAAAAATAATTAATCTAATAAAAAAATGCATACGTGCGGTATATTTGTTACAAGAGTGTCATAATCAAAAAAAAATTAAAAACAATAGGTATGCAGAAATGACCGCTATGTCGTCTACCGATCAGAGACCGGCTTTGAGTATTAATAAAATTAGTATACTTATTCATAATTTATAACAATTGATGCAAATGAGTACTCACACTAATTCCGAAAAGTGCTATGCTATAAACCGGTGCTACAAAAAAGTCATGAAATGCACCCGAAACAAAACTTAGTGTAGGTGTAGCTATGGTCGAGTACAACATGAAAATAGGTTATGTTTGTAATTGAAGCACTTATCTATTAACAGCTTAACTATTTTTGATCCGACTTTAAAAACCTAAAATGTTTTGAGAGGATTTATAGACTTTTGAAATGATGTATAACAATATATTGTTAGACGTAGCTTGTTGGAAGTTTTCAACGTTTAAATTTTAATAAGCCCCTATTTTCTTTAATTTTGACCATCGCTGATTTCAAAAATTTGATAGTCTCCTTAGGCGCCGCCTTGAATATTTTTGAAATCGGACAAAACCTACTCTCCCTGAAATATATCAAGCTTTGGGTTTTTGAAATTACCGTTATGGCGTGGTTTGTGTAAAATTTCAAA